TAGGTCGCCTGATTTGACATCGCCGGATTTCTTTCTGTGGGGTTACCCACAGATAAAAGATAAGGTTTATCAACAAGTGCCAACAACTCGTGAAAACAAGGTAGAACGCATAAGAAACGCTTGCGCTGAAACTCCCGCAGATATGCTTCCATCCTGTGTACAGTCATTTGAAAAAAGGATCAATAAGTGTATTGAAGTTGAAGGTAAAAATTTCGAACACTTACTCTAATTAATTGAACAGTGAGAGGCAAGGGGACTCACATTAAAAAAGCACCCCGATCTGTGAGAGGCAAGGGGACTCACATTAAAAAAGCACCCGAAGGGAACATAAAACTACTACGTCCTCGTCGTTGTTCCTGTGTAACGCTAAAAGTAGTTTTTCGGAAAAATTCAACGCTATCTATCACGAATGAAAAAAATTGTTTCAATAAAAATTTCACATACAATCTAATTCCGCAATGAAAAATGTGGGTCCCCATTTGAGATTTGAACGTTATCACCCACCCTACCCCGAGAGGATGGGGGGGAATAACTTTTATTATGTTCTTTAAAAATATTGAACAGGTATTTTTTATTTCTCAATCCAATGATCATTTCTGGAGAATTGCGGAAAATATAATTTTTCACGATTACAGCGCCATCTATCACGAATATAAAAAAAAGTTTCGGACAAAATTTACGTACTTTGCGGCGTAGAATCCGTATCTGCAATAAAAAAATGGCGGTTTCCATTTCAGATTTCAAAGTTGCCCCCAACCCGCAGGGGGTGGGGTGGGAGGTCGAGTTTGGTATCATTGGATGTCCCCCTTCGAGACTAACAACTTTCATTAACCACTTTTTTTATCCAATGCATAGTTCTCGAGATATTTCAATGTCTTCAGATAAATCGTGCACCCTGTATATATATATATATATATATATATATATATATATATATGTAAGTCTAGACTGAGAATACAGAATGTCAGTTGCTAGAACAATTGACGTACAAATCCATACACAGAGCTCAACTTCTGGTTTTAACCCGAACAGAATAAAACAAAAAAAGGCAAGACTCGGGACAGCAGCTTCTTCTTCTGTACGACACACCCTAGAGCGGTTTTTACTAGAGAAAAACTAACGTGCGAGCTCTAGCGCTATCTAAGACGAGTCGCACGCATTGCAACACACATGTTCCATGATTTCGAAGGGAAAAGAGAATGGCATTATCAGTTTTGTATTTGGAGGGCATTTCCAAGATCAGTTGAAGGTCAACTTAATTTTTTTAAATAGAAAACCTAATTTTTTATTATATAATATTTTCTTTTTCTACCAATTAATTTTAACAACTTTTGTCTGAAACATTTTCTTATTTGCCTAATATTTTTTTAAATATTTAAGAAGAACTTGATAACTTTTTCAACATTTAACTTACGATATCTCGCTAACTATTCGTCGAAAGAAAAAATAGTATTAGACTTTTTTACTTCATTTACTATCAACAATATATTACTATAATAATGCCCCAACTTTTGTTTACTTATCGACCTTGGGAAATTTCAAAATTATTAAATCAACAAAAGTGAGGGCACTATTATAGTAATATATTCTTGATAGTAAATAAAGTAAAAAAGTCTAATACTATTTTTTCTTTCGACGAATAGTTAGTGAAATATCGTAAGGTAAATGTTGGAAAAGTTACCAAGTTTTCCTTAAATATATCAAAATGTATTAAGCAGATAAAAAAATGTTTCAGACAAAAGTTGTTTAAATTAATTGGTGGAAAAAGATGATATAATAAAAAACTGGGATTTCCATTTATGAAAATTGGTAGTCAGCGAATATCTCGAAAGTGGCGCCATCTATAAATCAAATGCTATCGCTGTCTTATGTCCCCCTTCAAATCAAACAACTTTTGTCTAAAACATTTTTTGATTTAACGCAGTGTTTCTAAGATATTTAAGTGGATCCTTTAAAATGGGACACCCTGTATATATACAGGGTGTTATAAAAGTCTAGGAAGAGCAGAGTAACTCGAAAAATATGAGTCCTAGAAAATGTGCGAAGTACTGGGTTTTTATGATTTTTTCCTGGCTATCCGACGGTTATCTTGGATTTGACCTTGACAATGACCTTGAAGGTCATTTCAAGGTCAGGTCAATTTTTTAAAATGGGACTCCATACTTTTGACCCCAGAAATGAAAAGAGCGGAAAATTTTACGTTCGGATATGACCTTGAGCACTGCCAAATTTGACCTCTGAAGGTCACATAAAGGTATAAGCTTGTTTTAGGTTGAAAACACGAAAATGCACCTTGCTAGGGAGCAATGTTACGCATAACAATAAGAATGTAGAGGTCAACGAGGGGCATTCAGCCGTGATCTTGCCCTTATTCTCAAGGTCATGAGTTAAGATTATTATTAAGGTCAAACCGGACTTTTTTAGGACTTAAAATCCATACTTTTGACCTAAAAGTGTCAAGATTGAAAAATTTACGTTCGGACATTACGTTTTCAACCTTGACCTTGTTCTCAAAATTATGCGTTTTACGTTACTTCACTGATCGTGAAGTCTACTGAAAGTAAAGCGTCTCGGAACCCGACCACTGAAGGCAAGGTGTCTCAAACCCGACCACTGAAGGCAAGGTGTCTCAAACCCGGCCACTGAAGGCAAGGTGTCTCAAACCCGACCACTGAAGGCAAGGTTCAGTTAGTCCCGGCCACCGAAGGCAAAGCATCTTGTAACTCGGCCTGAGATTACAAGAGATGTTCAAAATGTTCCCCATTGACCGTTTAACAGTGTGCTAAGCGGACGTACAAATTGTCAGTCGCACTCCTTATCATTTCTGGAGGTATTGCAGCACATTCGTCTATGATCCGTTGTTGAAGCTCATCCAGGTTACGAGGTTTAGTGAAATAAACTTTATTTTTTATGTAGCCCCAAAGAAAGAAATCAAGTGGTGCAATGTCGGGCGATCTCGATGGCCATTCTATTGTTTCTCTTCTACCTATCCATCGATTAGGGAAAGTATCGTTTAAATAGTTCCGAACAATGCGTCCATAATGTGGCGGTGCCCCATCTTGCTGGAACCAAATATCATCAAAATGATCACCAACGCTCTTCTGTATTGGTGGAACAATTTGGTCTGTTAGAAGCTGCAGATAGGTTTCTGAGTTCAAATTCCCATTTATAAAAAAAGGCCCAACCACTTGATTATCATAAAGACCTGCCCAAACATTCAATTTTTGAGGTCGCTGCGTATGTGCTTCAAGCATCCAATGAGGACTTTCGTTGTCCCAATATCTAAAATTATGACGGTTTACCTTACCACTAATTTCAAAAGACGCTTCGTCTGAGAAAGCGGTTATTATGCTACAAGTCCGGTTGCTGATCAATTCTTTGCATCATAACTTCTGAAAATTGCACCCTGCGGTCAAAATCATCCTCATTCAACTCATGGTGGAGATGAATTTTGTAGGGGTGGAACTTAATGGTCTTTAGATTTTTGGAAATTGACAATACACTCATTTGAAGCTGTTGAGATGCTTTTCTAATTGACAATCTGGGATTTTCAACAAATGATTGGGCTACTTCAAATTGTCGCTCTTCTGTCGTTTGGGACCTTGGCCTCTCAGATTTTTGGCGGTTTTTATTACTCCCAGTTTCTACAAATCGTCTGATGGTACGAGATACAGTCGACATTGAAATATCTTCGCCTTCGTTACGAAAGTTTTCATTGAACAGCAATCTCACTTCACTGTATGACCTTTGTCTATCCCCCCATCCTCTCATCATCAATAGCGAAACTCTTTCATGCTCTGTAAGAGAAGCCATTTGGAACTGAAAACAAAAAATTGCAAAAATTTGGTATAAAAAATTCGGTTTCTTTACCTTTAAATAAAAATTATAAGTAATGTACCATTGATCGTTAATAATAATATGATAATAATTCAAAACGGACTAGAATGACATCAAAACTCAGAAACAATCTATTGTCTTATCATCAATATTATGTGTTTGACACTTATAGAACCGAGACATAAAAACCTTGAAACATACACTTCATTGATGGCGAATAAATTTTTCGGATACCGATCCTGGGATTTTTGAGCTCGCTAAAACCGAATCCGACATCGGATTTTGCAAATTCAAGATGGCCGATTCAAGATAGCCGATATTTAAGAATAACAAGAATTGGATCTCGTTTAAGGAGTTTTTGAAGTCGTTTCTGAAATCGAATCCGACGTTGGATTTTACAAATTCAAGATGACCGATCCAAAATGGCGCCCGATATTGAGGAATTACCAACAATCGGAGTGTGACCTCGTACGTAACGTAAAATCTCAATCTTCACATTATGGGGAGAGGGGTTAAAGTATATGTTTCCAGCCTAAAAAAATTAATTGACTTTGATATGACTGACACATAACCTTAAGAACAAGGTTAAGGTTGAAAACGTCATATCCGAACGTAAAATTTTTCAATCTTGACACTTTTAGGTCAAAAGTATGGATTTTCAGTCCTAAAAAAGTCCGGTTTGACCTTAATAATAATTTTAACTCATGACCTTGAGAATAAGGGCAAGATCACGGCTGAATGCCCCTCGTTGACTTCTACATTCTTATTGTTATGCGTAACATTGCTCCCTAGCAGGTGCATTTTCGAAGATATTCGCGTTTTCAGCCTAAAACAAGTTTAGACCTTTACGTGACCTTCGGAGGTCAAAATTTGCAGTGTTTAAGGTCATATCCGAACGTAAAATTTTTCACTCTTTTCATTTCTGGAGTCAAAAGTATGGGGTCCCATTTAAAAAATTGACCTGACCTTGAAATGACCTTCAAGATCATTGTCAAGGTCAAATCCAGGGTTACTGTCAAATAGCCAGGAAAAAATCATAAAAACCCAGTACTTCGCATTTTTTCTAGGACTCATATTTTTCGAGTTATTCTGTTCTTCCGGGACTTTCATAACACCCTGTATATATATATGTATATATATATATATCATATACAAAAGGATGGATCATTTCTGTTCTAACAAGCTTCCCTTTGTTTTGTCCTCGCCGAAGGAAAAACATAACTTCACAACAGGTTATGGGCCCAGAGTAGTCAGAAGGTCGAGTTTAATTCATGTCAGAAGAGATTGTCTATATGCCGAGAGGACTGTAAGCATATGTGCTCGTGAACAAATTGCTATCATAGGTTTTTTGTTGTCTGGATTCGATTCGAAGTCAGAGTACTGTCGTCTACGTCTGCCGAAATAACCATGGATAATATTCCTGTCACGAAGTTCAATGGATCAGATTTTGGTCTCTGGAAGTATCAGATGACGGTCTACCTCGAATATTATGATCTATATGATGTTGTATGTGGTAAAGTAGCAAGGCCGCAAACAAATTCTCAACACTGGGATACAATCGACAAGAAAGCTAAGTGTATATTGACTCAGTTGCTTGAGCTGCAACAGTTACGTCATGTGGTAAACTGCAAAACCTCAAATGAGATTTGGTCTAGGTTAGAGTCTGTGTATGAGCAAAAGAATGAAACGAGTGTACATTTGCTTTTAGTAAGAATTTTCGAGTACAAGATGGATCCGAACAAGATGACAGTGTCCGAACATGTCAGCAATGTTGAACAAATGGCTCGACAACTTGAAGATCTTGGTCACAAACAAGATGAAATAACGGTGATTACAAAGATCTTGCATTCGTTACCAGCAAGCTTTCGTTCCATGATATCAGCTTGGGATTCAGTATCAAGAAATGAACAGACGTTAGCAAATCTGTTATCTCGTCTCATGAAAGAAGAAAACTTTGCTCAGAGTTTCAGTGAGCTCAAGGTCAGTGGCGGTGATGAGTCAACTGCATTATATGCGAAGAAATCGAAGTACTTCAAGAAATCTAAGCCAGATAAGAAAACATTCAAGGGAAAATGCTTCAACTGTGATGAGAAAGGACACATGGCTTGACAGTGCAAGAAACCTAAGAGAGAATCGAAGCAAGCTAATATTGCGTCGCAAAGCAAGAGACCGTCGTACGGTGCATTTACGACATTGTCTTCTTCTCAACAAAAATGTTCACATGAAGATTGTTGGTTGACTGATTCAGGAGCAAGCAATCATATGACATTCCGACGAGACTGGTTTGAGACATTCGAACCGATTAATGACAAATCTGTGCCGATAACAGTAGGCAATAATGAAGTCATTTATGCAAGTGGCCGCGGTAATATCAGAATTATATCGACAATCAACGGAAAAGAACGTGAAGGTACGTTACACGACGCACTCTGGATACCGGATTTGGGTCGCAATCTTCTGAGTATTGGTGCAAGTAACAAACACGGCAACAAGGCGATCATTGATGTACACCAAATAAAGATCATTGGGAGGAATAGCCAAACACTCATGGTGGGTTACAGCTGTGAACAAAATTTATACACAATGGAAACACGAGTTATAATGCCGAAGCATGAAGCTCAGTACGCAGATAACAACATGCAGCCGCTATCAGTATGGCATGAGCGTCTTGGTCACGTATGTTACAAAAAGCTCGAACAGTTAATCGCCAATGGAGCAGTTGAGGGCGTGAATGCCTCAAGAACTAGTGGGAGCAATAACAACAGGTTCTGTAAAGCTTGCGTTTTCGGGAAACAAACGCGCAAACAATTTAACAATCGGATACTCGTGCAAAGCAGCCAGGTGAATTAATACATTTTGATGTTTGCGGTCCGAAGTCGACTCCGACGTTCGGTGGTAACACTGTACTTGTAGTTTTCGTGGATGACTACTCAGGTTTTCTAGTGGTACGTCCCATGAAAGATCGATCCGACATAGCTGATGCTGTCGAAAGCTTCATAGCAATAGCAACTTCATACGGACATCAGGTTAAACGTTTTCGGTCTAACAACGCACGTGAGTTTACAAGCAAGGACATGAAGAGAATCATGAACAAAAACAAGATTGTTCACGAGTTCTCAACACCGCGTGCACCTCAGCAAAATGGCCGTGCTGAACGACAAATCAGGACAATTGTCGAGACTGGACGTACTTTGTTGGCTGCAGCTGATTTGCCGCTGTCTCTTTGGGCAGAAGCAGCGAGAACTGCTGCATTAACTCGCAATTATGTACCGCTGGATCGACTCGATGGTAAAACACCGTGGAAAATATTCACAGGAGAAAAACCGGATGTCAGCTTCCTACGTAACTATGGCAGTGATGCGTACGCTCACATTGAAGATGGCTTTCGTAGCAAGTTTGACAAAAAGTCAAAGAAGCTTGTATTAGTTGGTTACGAAACTGGCTCTTAGGCCTATCGACTTTGGGAACGTGGCACGAAAAATGTGTATGTACGATGCAATGTCAAAATTGTCGAATCCAGTCCAAAGGCCGCTGTTAAGTTCATCGAAGAAAAAGAAGAGGAAAAACTACCGAAAATAAGGCTTGAAGAACAAGCAGTCAACAACGAAGGAGAACCAGTCGCGAGCAGAACTCGGTCAAAACAGAAGATGCAGGAAGATAGACGTGTAATCGAGGACGACTGTATTGCTCGTCATACAAGAAGCAAGGTCAATGACTTAATTGCGGGTGCATGTTTGCTAGCAGAAATCAAGGTGCCAGAAAAGACGCAATCAAAGAACTGTAAAGAAGCAATTGAATCATCTAATAGTAAACAGTGAGAGCAAGCGATGCATGAGGAGCTCGATTCACTTAAAAGGAATCAGACATGGCAATTGGTCAAACCACCTGAAGGATGTCGAGTGATTCAAAACAAGTGGGTCTTTCGTGTTAAAACTAAACCAAACGGTGATGCTGACCGTTTCAAAGCAAGACTTGTTGTTAAGGGTTAAGGGCAGTCAAAAACAAGGCATCGACTTCAGTGAGACATATTCTCCAGTTACTCGTTACGATTCGATCCGAATGATGATAGCTGTTGCAACTGAAAAGGACTATGAGATGATCCAGTTTGATGTAAAAACAGCCTTCTTATATGGTGACTTGGAAGAACTGTACAGGGTGGGGAAAAATTATTGGTCATGCTTTTGCCAGTCGATTCTACTCGTCGAGATCGCCAACATTGCATCATAAACATGGTGCGCAAAATTAACTTTCAAGGTCATTTTCAATGTCAAATTTTTTATTGGCTTAGTCGATTCTACTCGTCGAGTTGAACAAAAGTCTCAAAGGGACCATATGCCGGGAATCAATATTTCATAGAGAAATCTTCGTTTGAAGTTTTTTTTGCCTGAGATTTCCAAAAAATCGATTTTTATGAAGTCAGAAAATAAATCTGATGCTTATAAAGTTCTTAAAATCATGGTCTGAATATCCTGATCATGATTAGCGAAAATTACCCCCCAAAAATGACCCTGAAAAATTTGTTTTCAAGGTGAAAAATCTGCTTAATCTACTCTTAGCGCTACCCAGGAATAACGACGTAGACATGGTAGATTTCTGTTCCCTTCGGGGTGACTTGATTATTGTGAGTTCCCCTCGCCTCTCACTTCGGGGTGACTTGATTATAATGAGTTCCCCTCGCCTCTCACTTCGGGGTGACTTGATTATAGTGAGTTCCCCTCACCTCTCACTTCGGGGTGACTTGATTATAGTGAGTTCCCCTCGCCTCTCACTTCGGGGTGACTTGATTATTGTGAGTTCCCCTTGCCTCTCACTTTATCGTCGTCGACGCTGCCTACGAACAAACAGAACTGACCCATTGGCCCCAATAGCTCTGAGGAGTTATGCTTGTCTGCCAGCTTCAACGTAACCACCATCGTTATCAATGCAAGCTTGGAGTCTCTTCACCAAATTATTTCGCACTCTACGGAGCACAGCTCGGTTTCGTGCTAAAGTAGCAACCGCCTCTTCAATGCGATCTCGTAAATCCTGAGCCGTCCTTAAAGCCCTGCCTGACCCATAAACAATGGGTTTCAGAGCTCCCCAGAAATAAAAGTCCAGAGGGTTCAGGTCAGGTGAACGGGCGGGCCATAAGTGTGGCGCAGGATTACGACCGATCCATCGAGTTCCAAAAGCTTGTTGTAAAAAAGCGCGGATCTGCCTGCTGAAATGCGGTGGGGTACCGTCATGCATAAAAAAATTCGATTACAGGCACTCCTCGGAACCATACGTCGCAGTTGATTCAGGAGAGTATGACATAGAAACCGCAAATACTCAACGCTTGACAATCGGTTTGAGAGAAACACAGGAGCAATATAATTATTCCCGAGTATCCCTGCCCAAACATTGACTGAAAAACGGCCCTGCTGAACTCTTTGGACCATTGCGTGTGGATTGCGTCTGCGCCAGATGCGAACATTTTGCCGGTTCAAAATGGAAGTGCTGGAAAAACTGGATTCATCAGTGAACACTATATTTTTCAGAAAATGTCGATTTCTTCGGATCTTGCGAAGCATTCACCGACAAAAACGAAGACGAGCTGTGCGATCACCAGGTCGCCTCATGCACTACCTGCACTTTGTAGGGTCGTAGGCCTTTCTCACGGAGAATGCGCAAGACTGTTTTATGATCTACCCCTACTCGCACGCCAATGTGTCGTGATCCCATGACAGGATAAGTTCGAGCTAGTGCAATCACACGTTCCTCAATTCTCCAAGACACACGAGGACGACTTGCCCTACGGTGGCCAGCATTTGCAAAATTCCTTTGCTCCTGATTATGGAATCGTTCATCGAGTCGTTGAAATTCTCGACGATCAGGCACGGATCCTGGACGTAATGTTCTGCCATTAGCTTGGCATCGCAACCAACTACCATAAAGAGCTCGTGCTCGTGTGTAATTACCATGAGCACGATCAATTGCTCGAAGCATTAGACGTTGGTCACGCCCATCCCGATGTGCCCGATCACGGCCACCACGTCGAAGCATGCTATAGCAACGTTATTCTTAGAAAAAATTTGGTAAAAAATTGAAACAATTTTTTTAATTTTATACTGAAAATTGATTCAAGATCGGCGGCGGTCTTCTAATAATCACGAAAAAGGTCTGGATATGGATGAAAAGCTTCTTAAGCATAAGTAACGAATGTCTTATGGAGCGATATATTATTCCTCTCCGAGGCAAATGGCCGTTGCTTTAAGGAACCAACAGCCGTTGAAATGTTACTGGGTACCAAGATACTTCGAAGGGAACTAAAATCTACCATGCTCACTTCGTTGTTCCTGGGTAGCGTTAATAGTAGATTAAGCAGATTTTACACCCATGACAATTAATTTTACGAAATTTTTTGGTTTCTAAAAACTTCAAACGAATATTTCTCTACGAAATATTGATTTCCGGCATACGGTCCCTTTGAGACTTTTGTTCAGCTCGACGAGTAGAATCGACTAAGCCAATAAAAAATTTGACATTGAAAATGACCTTGAAAGTTAATTTTGCGGCACCATGTTTATGATGCAATGTTGGCGATCTCGACGAGTAGAATCGACTGGCAAAAGCATGACCAATAATTTTTCCCCATCCTGTACATGCTCTAATCTGAAGGCTTCAACGATGGCAGTGGAAGAGTCTGCAAGCTTCTACGCAGTCTGTATGGGTTGAAGCAAGCACCTTTGCAGTGGCACAAGAAAATCGGAGGCGTACTAGCAGAATTAGGAATACACTCAACGAATTATGACACTTGTATATGCTCAAACGATGAAGGAGATTTGTTGATTGCATTATACGTGGACGATGGTCTTGTAATCGGTGCATCGATGGATAAGATCAACAAGTTATTAGAACTACTCACAGCACATTTCGAGATCACGAAAAACGAAGCAAATTGTTATTTAGGACTCGAAATTAATCGGAATCGTTCTGACAGGATCACGCGCATACATCAAACAGCTTACACTGAAAGGATGCTTGAGAAGTTTAATATGGCTAACTGTAATCCTGTCAATACTCCGATAGATACATACCAGGTATGTCGGTAATTACTTTCCGGTTTTTGTAACAGATGTCACTACCATAAGTCATCAGATGTCACAGCCATAAGTATGGAATGTTATGATTTGATACATATGTCATTTTATTCTACTGACATTAACCTCAAAACTACACAAGTTACGTTCCGCCAAAATAACAGCGTTATAGATTTATAATTTTTTGAAAATGTCGAGTTTTGTGCCTGAAAACGTGCATTTGCGGCACGCATTACTTTTCTTGTTTAATCAAAAGAAAAAAGCCGCTGAAAGTCATCGTTTGCTGGTAGAGACTTACGATGAGCATGCTCCAACCATAAGAACATGTGAAACGTGGTTTCGACAATTCAAATGTGATTTCAACGTTCAAGACAAAAAACGTCCTGGTAGGCCGAAAACGTTTGAAGATGTGGAATTGCAGGAGTTATTGGATGAAGACCCAACACAAACTCAAAAACAATTGGCAGAAAAGTTGAATGTGAGCCGAGTAGCAATTTGTGAACGATTACAAGCGATGGGAAAGATCCAAAAGATGGGAAGATGGGTGCCACATGAATTGAATGACAGGCAATTGGAAAATCGAAAAATCGTCAGTGAAATGCTGCTTCAAAGATATGAAAAGAAGTTATTTCTGCATCGAATAGTAACGGGTGATGAAAAATGGATTTATTTCGAAAATCCCAAGCGAAAAAAATCATGGTTATCACCTGACGAAGGCAGCCCATCGATTGCAAGGCCAAATCGCTTTGGTCGCAAGACCATGCTCTGTGTCTGGTGGGACCAGGTTGGTGTCGTATATTATGAACTGTTGAAACCTGGAGAAACAGTTAATACTGATCGCTACCAACAACAAATGATCAATTTGAACTGTGCATTGATCGAAAAACGTCCACAATATGCTCAAAGACATGATAAGGTGATTTTGCAGCATGACAACGTGTCGTCTCATACAGCAAAACCAGTCAAAGAAGTGTTGAAATCACTTGGATGGGAAGTTTTATCGCACCCGCCGTACTCTCCAGACCTGGCTCCATCCGACTACCACCTTTTCGCATCGATGGGGCACGCGCTTGCAGAGCAGTATTTCGCCGATTTCGAAGAAGTTAAAAAATGGCTTGATGAATGGTTTAGCTCAAAGGAGAAATAGTTCTTTTGGAATGGCATCCATAAATTGCCTGAGAGATAGGCAAAATGTATAAAATCAAATGACCAATACTTTGAATAAATATATTTTAACTATCCATTGTAAATAACGTGTTTTCTTTAGCGAAAAAACCGGAAAGGAATTACCGACACACTCGGTATACTATACTGAAACGAGAACTTGACGAAGACGAACGTTGTCAAGAATCAAGATATCTCGTATCGTCAGCTGATAGGATCGCTGATGTTCTTAGCGGTTGGATCAAGACCAGATATTTCATTCGCTGTGAGCAAACTTAGTCAGTTTCTGGAATCGCCTACTACCATACACTGGTCAGCAGGAAAGAGAGTACTCAGGTACTTGAGAGGTACTAAATCGCTGGAATTGACTTATGGAATGAAAAACGAAACAACAGAAGGTAAAAATTTAATAGCCTTCTCGAATGCGGATTATGCGTCATGTGTAGACACCCGCAAGTCAATTAGCAGTGTTATCTTGATCCTGAATTACGGACCTATCATTTGGTTATCAAGAAAACAAAATGTAGTTGCCACTTCAACTACAGATGCCGAATACATAGCAGCTCATGATACATCAAAGGAAACTGTGTGGGCTCGTAGTTTTTTACAAGAGATCGGATGCAGACAACTCGGACCAACGACTCTTTATTGTGACAGTAAAGCAGCGGAGGCTTTAATCAAGAATCTAGCGTTTCACAAGAGGACCAAACACGTAGACATAAAATATCATTATGTAAGAGACGTGGTTAAGAATGGACAATTAACAGTTACTCATGTAGCAAGTGACAAACAACGAGCGGACTTATTAAAACCACTTCCAAAACAAAAGTTTTTTATAAACTGCGAACTTTTGAATATGACTTTAAACTCGTCGAGTGGGAGTGTTGCGATGAGTGCGACTCGTCTTAGATGGCGCTAGAGTTCGCAGGTTAATTTTTCTCTAGTAAAAACCGTTCTAGAGTGTCGTACAGAAGAAGAAGCTGCTGTCCCGAGCACGGTCTTACATACAGGTCTGGAAACTCCTCCAAATTTTGGTGGTGGGGGTAGTTCCCTTATTGAAGCCAAATAGTTTGTAGCCCGGCCACGGCGCTGTCGTCTAACTCGCAGATAAACATAGCCTGAAAACTGCAAAACCGTAAGATAATAAATTGTTGACAAAATTCGCAAGTGACAAACTTATTGAAAAATGAGATGTGTGGTACCGAATTGTAAAAGCGGCAGCAGAACCGAGTAGAAACGTTCTCTATTTCGAATGCCAAAAGATATTGTTACGTGGAAAAAGTGGGAAAAAGCTATTCCGGGTACTGTAAAGTTGAATCAGACAGATACTGTGTGTGTGAAAACCATTTTAACGAGGAAGATATTGTTCGTGAATGGATAAAGTTCGACGCAAATGGTCAAGAAATTGCACAGGTGAGTTTAATGTAAATATTGCATGTGCGGTTTGAAGAGGTTCTTATTCATATCCTGTATTTCTCTAATGAAGGTCGCATACAAGCGTCAGAGGCTCAAGCAGTTCGCTGTGCCCACAAAATTCAATGACGTTCCAACAGGAAAGGAAAATTGTGAGCCACTGGATGAAAATACGAAGCGAATTTCGAATTCTCAAATAAATTCTCCAGGCATTGTCCAGTCCTCAGTTGGTGTCATGAAACCTTCAATTCAAGAAAACAGTATAGTCGAAGCAGTCATCGGTGAGTTGCCTTAAACAAAAAGTATTTATTGTAATATTGATATGAAAAAGATAGAATATAAATAATTGAAACATACATAAATTGCTTTCATTGATGTTTCAGATGTTGCTCATATTTCTTCACCAGTTCCAGTTGTTGACTCAGGCACTGAGTTGTCGGTCTCTCCAATGAAAGTATTGAGTTGTGAAACTGCAATTACTTGACTCTTTTAGAAATTCTTCGGCACTATACGCCAATGCGCGGGATGCAACGATCATCCAAACTGCCCAACATTTTTACAATTATACAAATTGCTATCGGTGTATAGCGTGATTAAGCCTCCGAAATACGGGAATTGCACCGTGTCGTCCAATAAGAGGCCGGCGACTTTGATCTCTATCAGCGACATCAAAGCTATTTACAGCAACAAACGTGAAGGCAAAAGTGCGGCATATATGCAAGAAATTAAAAAAAAAATTAGATCAAGTGTTGTAACACGATTGGGAGGCGGACGATATCATCGATCCTCATTCCGAACACGATTATGCCCTTTCCCCTATTCTCGATTGTATTATCTACTACGTAACAGGTTTTCTATGTTAAATATATTTTCGCAATGTGTTTGTCCAAACCAAAAAACGTAGGTTTGTATTATGTTGATAATAACGCTTGCTGTACTGCACTAATCATTGCATGGCTTATCATTGATTCAGCTTTATATATGTCGACGTAGAATTCATGTTCTTTTTCTTTAAGACCAGTATTCATAATCGGATCTTACTTCAAGATCGTCTTAAGTAACATCTTAAGTTTCCAATACAGCTCAGTGATTGGCTTAGGTCATCTTAAATGTTTACTTAAGACGATGTAATATATAACATCCGACTATGAATACCGGCCTAAGGACGGGGCGTTTTTATTTTAAAAGATGATTAAAAATTATTGCATTGTTTTTCCAGGTTATTTATGCAAGCAAGTCCTTAAAAAATATAAATCCTGCTCAGTGTGTGAAGAAGCCGTGAGATTGAAAACCAGCTGCGGATCTTCGGAGTCACAACTGGTTGAAATGAAATCACGCGGTGGTCTTATTCACGCTAATCTCCATTTCTTTCATTTAATCCGCTATATAGAAGCATCGTTTGCAAAATATTCCTCTCGTGTTGACGTCTTCGATGTAACTCTCGATAAAATACTTGATTCTTATACCTTCACGTTTCCCTGTAAAGAACATGCATCTGAAATCCTGTCTTATGCTATAGTTTATTATTTAAGATTAAGAATGAGGCAAACTGCTCACCAGGAAAATTTAAAATTAAAAAAGAAATTTGTTGTAAAGAAAAAATTGTCCAAATTAACTAATGAATAAAATGCTTACGTAAGTGAAAATTAATAATGTCCTTTCTCACCTTGCAATACTTTTTCACATTTAGCCAAACACTGTCAATTTCAATTTTGGAATACCTATGGTAAAATAAAATGAAGAAACATTGAAGAATTCATTTTATTGGGTGAGTGCAAAAGCTCGTGCGGAGTTTCAATAGATGGAGTTATAAACGTCGTAAAGTGTTGTTATTAATACTTCCATCTACATATTATATAACGTTGGAAAGGTGACGTCTTCAGCTGTTATTAAAAAAAAAATCATTTGTTTTCATACAAACTGCTTCGAGAAATATCACTTTAAAAATGAGTATCGATAAGGTGCATTTACGGCATGTTATGCTTTATGAGTTTCGGAAGGGAATAAACGTTGCCGCAGCCGTAAAAAACATTCAGGATGTTTATCAGGATGAAGCACCAGCTAAACGAACTGTGGAAAAATGGTTTGCTAAATTTCGGCGCGGAGAATTTAACCTTGAAGACGAGCCACGCTCTGGTCGACCTTCTGACATTGATGACGATGTTTTGCGTACTTTAGTGCTCAATAATCCGCGAATTTCAACAGAAGAAGTTGCTACAGCACTAAACGTTGTCCGATCAACCGCTTTTCGGCGTTTAAAAAAGATAGGATTCGATTTGAAGCTCGATATATGGGTGCCCCATTTGCTGACCGAGAAGAACAAAATCAAGCGAATTTCTGTAGCCGTTTCTTTACTCGGGCGGCTCAATAACGAGTCGTTTTTGGATCGACTAGTGACGGGCGATGAGAAATGGGTCCTCTACAACAATGTTCAGCGCAAACGGACATGGAAACAATCAGGTGAGCATGGTGACGCAATGCCAAAGGCCAGTTTGCACCCGATGAAGGTGATGCTCTCTGTTTGGTGGAATTGCAAGGGCATAATCTATTTCGAGCTTCTCCCCGCTGGCGAAACGATTGATTCGGACAAGTACTGTCGCCAATTAACCAATCTGAATCGAGAAATAAAAGAGAAACGTCCGATTTTGTCAAATCGCAAGGGAGTCGTCTTTCATCACGACAACGCCAGACCACACGTTTCGAAAAAGACGCTGCGCAAACTGAAGAGCCTGAAATGGGATGTCTTAACGCATCCACCGTATTCTCCTGATATCGCACCATCTGACTATCACTTGTTCCGGTCATTGCAAAATTATTTAAATGGAAAAAACTTTGACTCTTTGGAGGCCTTAAAAAACGGCGTCTCTTCGTTCTTCGAATCTAAACCGCGCAGTTTTTATGATCGAGGCATCCGTATGCTGCCAGAACGTTGGGAAAAGATTATAGAAAACGATGGAGAATATATCATTGATTGAATAAAGATTTTTGTTTGCCTAATCACTGTGTGACTTTTACTCAAAAACTCCGCACGAACTTTTGCACTCACCCAATAATTTATACCTATTTCATTTTAAAAAATTAAATACCTGCACAACTTAATTAAATTAATTTAACTAAACTAAATTAAAAGGAGAGAAAATGGAAGAGTTGGTTTTTATTCATATTTACCTTGGCTTGATAACTTGAATACGTAAAACTAGAAATACCAAATTACACATATAAAATAATAACTCGTTTTTTGTATTTAATTTTTAAAAGAAAAACTCGTGTGTATTTCTTTTATATACTTATTTCATTAATTTATCTTATATCATGTAAAGCGTTCATTTTTTTTATATTGCTTTGCGAAATAATTTAAAGCAACACCCAGAGAAATATTTCAGTATATTAATTCAGGTTGACCAGATTAACATCTTTCAATCGATATATTTGTGTAACAAATACGCGAGTTTACCACTCTGCTCTTACCCGTCCCCGCCAGCGTCTCACCCCCGAGCGAGCTAGATTGCAACGCCTCTAGTGGCTATTACAGAAAATAAAATTGGCTTCAATAAGGGAACTATCCCCATCACCAGAGTTTCCAGACCTGTATGTAAGACCGTGGTCCCGAGTCTTGCCTTTTTTGTTTTGTTCTGTTCGGGTTAAAACCAGGAGTTGAGCTCTGTGTATGGATTTGTACGTCAATTGTTCTAACAACTGACATTCTGTATTCTCAGTCTAGACTTACACACACATATATATATATCATATACAAAAGGATCGATCATTTCTGTTCTAACAAGCTTTCCTTTGTTTTGTCCTCGCCGAAGGAAAAACATAACCTCACAACAATGTGTATTAGCTTTTATTAATATCTTTCGAAGTTTTCGAGATTTTTTACCTGTTACGTTTGGAATTTAGCACCCTATATATATATTTATTTATATATATATATATACACAAGGAAACTTATAAAAATACAATATTTTAGCCATACATATTCTAGAATATTGAAGTAATATTATTGTGATCAACTAATAACAAAACATTTTAGAGTAAAGATTTCGAGCTTTAAAATGCTTTTTCATTCATTACGATACGACAATTCCAATAAAAGTTATAGCCGTTTGAACTTTCATAATATTTTTAGGAATAAAATATCCCTTACTTATCTTCGAGTAGTTCAATAACTATCACAATTTATAATAATTATCTCACAACAATAGAAATCAAAAAAATAGAAATCTTTAGAGTTAATTACCTTATAAATGCAGCAAAAGTAGCATTTGTATTGTAACTTGCGAAAAAAGAATTATATTATGTCAAATCTAATATTATATTATTATAATATATTATGTCAAGCCTAAGATAATATTATGAATGTGATTTATTATATTTATTATTATTTTTATTATCATTTGTATTATTATTATTACTTTTATGTAACATAATAGAAATAGTATACTTATTCAACATACATATTAAGATGTAATAACTAAGACAAATGTAATAACGGTATGCAACACCAGGCTTCGTCTTGATATGGAAGTTGAATAGCTTTATTAATTATTACTACAATTGGCCATATTATCAGGTCCGATAAATTTTTCACCACATATATATCCATATGTTGTGAATTGCAAGGGTACAGTGGCAAAGAATTTTTTGTTAACCATTTTCTACCAATAATGACCGGTGTTTCTTCTTTATCATAACAGATATGTTCTATAATAGTAATTGTTTTGTCTTTGAGATAACAACAATTGTTAAGTTTCTTGTCTGTCAATGTAAAGTCCTTGAATTGAATTGCGCAATAAGCATTGATACAATTCATTGGAAGAACCTTTGAACATTTTTTTTGCAATAAAGGTGTGGAACATCTATTGCAATTATTTTCACAAGGTGCACTAGAATTTTCTAATATTCTTCTGTACAGTTGTTGTAATGGTTCATCGGCTTTTCGTATCATTTTTTATTGATTGCATATAGTTTTCAAAAGGAAATGCGGAAAAATTATCCAATGATCCATACATTAGTACGTCTTCATTTATGTGAAGTAAGTTGTGCACATTATAAATTACAGTTTCGTCACCATATAATTGTTTAAATGTTTCTACAAATGCAGTAAGTAGGTCTTTGCTATATTGATTGTTACGGAAACAATCTATTGGATGACAATATCCGCATTGTACAATTTAATACATTGAAATGTAATAAATTATCTGCAGGCAAAATATTTTACAGTACAACTGGCTCAAGATATAATAAAGTTTGCCGCAATTCAGTTGCTTTCCAACGACTCACTTCATCCAACGAACGTGGTTTTCGAGCAAATTCTTTAGGTATCCATTTCGACGTAGTATAATAATTAACATCTCTGATAACTTTATTCTTTTTCGTTCATTTAATCTTGATGTCTGATATCCACTTAGCCATAATAGCAACATTTTCTTCATGACACCTAGACATACTAGGTGCATATAATCTAAAGGGAACTGTGAAACCATAGGCTGTATAGCTGTATACCATAGGCATATAGCTGTATTGATTCGAAATGAGATACACCAGTATGATGGTCTTCTTGTATTCTTTTGCTAAAATTTTGATCAGTTCGAAGAAGTGCAGTGGATTTCAAAAATAACATATGATGGTTAGAATAAATGCCCTTTTGCATACATTTTCCACATCCAAAATATCCATTATGTGATTTTGCACAAGTAACGAAAGCTCTTGTAGGGCTATCACAAATAACACATCAAATTTGTACAGTGTATTTTTTTCCACCGAATACGACTCCTGCATTTTGTATTGCAGTATATTCTTCGCAAAAAGGTGTCAAAAATGCACCTACAAAACATGATTTTGAATATCCATGATATGCAGTAACAACAAAGGGTGTAAATGCTTTTTCACCGTAAATTTTTCCCAATAATGGCCAAATTTGACTTTTACTGCTTTTTGATATTGGTAGTCCATCTATATTCAAGTCTATTAAAATAATTTTATTTTCCACTGTGCATTTAGTACGTGCCAATTGTTCAATTATTGCCTTTTCCAGGCTGTAATGAAAAAAACTTCCATTTTGTGGCAAGTTATATACGATATTATTTCTCGGCGTGTTTAAAAGCGTTCTTGCATCTTGTGGTAAATCGCTGTGACCACATTTACGCAATTCACTTAGTAATTTTGAGAAAGCAGTCTGAGTAATATTATGCTTTAACCTCCAGGAACGTAACCAATTTGAAAACTCTGAAGTTGGATCAATATTTTTGCTGATATTCTGTCCATCTTCCGATTCAATATGAGCATTAAAACTTGGGAGAAATTCATTTGAAGCGTTATCAGAATTAGAGTCAAGTGAATTACATTGCTCTATAAGCACATTTTCATTAGTTTGCGACTCACAGGTAGTAACACCTATGTTGACTGTAGATGTATCGACATGATAGTCTAGCGATACAATTGGTTTACGCTCATATCTCTCATAAGCTTGAAGGCGCCTATTTTTTTGCCGCACAGATAATTCCTGAAATGTTTTCGGCATCTGTGAATTAAAATATTATATACTAATGTATAAAATATTTAAATTTGTTTCTTACTAATCGTTTTATTTATTCATTGTAATATTATACAGAATAGATTATTTATATCAAATTATTCTGTAATATATTATATAAATGTTTTAAATGTACTCATATGTACATATTCTTTTTACGTTTTCTGTAAGAAAATATTTCTGATAAAGTAATATCGTTTAAAGATGGAAGTGTTAAAATTAATTTTTACTTTTTCAAGTCAATATTAAAGGGAGGTAGTAGGTCGACAACATTTAAAAAATCAATTTTAAGGAGTTAAGATTTTTAATGTGTGTGTGTGTGTGTGTAGTGCACAGAATATAAATATCAAATTATATTTAAATCCAGCAATTATTCACAAAGTTATAAAACTTAAAATCATGGAATGCGATTTCTGCTATGACACAGTAATATACCCTTCGTGCTCTTTCTCTGATTACAGTTGTTAACGCGCGTGAGACGGACATTGGACATGGCACACTTTTATTTAGGAGTACAAATAAGTTTCCACCGTTTGACAAAAGATGGTTAGTGGCCTCATCAGAAGGTTATGTTGAAATTGTCAGATGTAAAACATAATAGCGTAAGTTTGGACATCTGGTAACAACATAACCTTGAAGTATTAGTGACCCCGTATTAGCATCACATAATTTTTTTCGTGCGAAAATGTCAAATTTTGTGCCGAATAAGCGTCATTTGCGGGAACTTTTGATTTGCTTCTTTAATTTGAAAAAATCTGCTGCTGAGGCGCATCAATTGCCTGTAGAAGCATATGGTGAGATTGCTTTAAGTGAGAGAAGTTGTTGTGAGTGGTTTCAAAAGTTTAAAAACGGTGAGTTTGACGTGGAAGACAAAGAACGTAGTGGAAGGCCGAAAGTGTACGAAGACACGGAATTGGAAGCATTATTGGAGGAAGGTTTGTGCCAAACGCAAGAAGAACTTGCACTTACATTAGAAGTGACTCAACAAGCAATTTCACATCGTTTAAAATCGTTGGGAATGATTAAAAAACAAGGAAATTGGGTTCCATATGAACTGAAGCCGAGAGCCGTTGAACGCCGATTTTGCACGTGTGAAATGCTGCTTGCCAGGCATAAAAGAAAGGGTTTTTTACATCGTATAGTCACTAGTGATGAAAAATGGATCCATTACGATAACCCAAAGAAGAGAAAATCATGGGGATCACCTGGCCATGCTTCAACATCGACAGCCAAACCGAATATTCATGGAAAAAAACTCATGCTGTGTATTTGGTGAGATCAGCTTGGTGTCGTGTATTATGAGTTGCTCAAACCGTGCGAAATCATTACTGGAGCTCTCTACAGAGCACAATTAATGAGATTGAGCGGAGCACTCAAGGAAAAACGCGTCCATTACTACTCCAGACACGACAAAATTATTCTCCTACATGACAACGCTCGGCCACATGTTGCAAAACCGGTCAAAACCTATTTGGAAACACTTAATTGGGAAGTCCTACCCCACCCGCCGTATTCACCAGATATTGCCCCTTCCGATTATCACTTGTTCCGGTCGATGGCACATGGCCTGTCTAAGCAGCGCTTTACATCATATGAAAATACTAAAAATTGGGTCGATTCGTGGATAGCCTCAAAAGATGAAGAGTTCTTCCGACGTGGTATCCGAATGCTGCCAGAAATATGGGAAAAAGTAATGGCTAGTGATGGATAATACTTTGAATAAAACGTAATGTACCGTTCTTTCACAATAAATTCCTAATTTTTGATAGAAAACGGCGGAAACTTATTTGTACTCCTAATAGCAAAAGGGTTAGATTGACTTTAAAATTACATTTTGTCACCGCATGTTGTAAGACCGTGGCGTGAATATGTAAGAATTATTGAGAATATGTAAGGAAACTATTACAAAAGAATAGTCGACTGTGATTAGTCAAATCTTATTCTTATTGACTTGTGTCTGACACTGCAAGGGTACAAGGGTGCAATGGTCTTTAATCTCATTGGGTGCATTCAGTACTACAACCGCTCACTGAGCACTAAGTGAGCTCTTGCATCTGATTGGTATATATTTTTAAATCTAAAAGAATATACCAATCAAATGTAAAAGCTCATTGAGCGCTCAGTGAGCGGTTGTAGTACTGAATGCACCCATTGTCAGGCGAATGCCATTGTTACAAATTATATCATCTTTTCTTATATTGGGTGTACAAATTAGTTCGGTCCGTTTTCAAAAGATGGTTCCGGCTGTTATGAATGGTTCATAGTGACTGCCGATTTTGGCGGTTTCAGAGAGGTTAGACATCTGCCAATAATATTCAGTTTACATCGCTTTGAGTTTCATACAAAAACCTTGCTTTTTAGTGTTGAAAATGTCGAATTTTGTGTTAACCAAGCAGCATTTGCGGGAGGTTTTAATTTTCTGCTTTAATTGGAAGAAAAGTGCAGCTGAAGCCCATCGAATGCTTGTTGAAGTTTATGGTGACGCTGCTCCAACTGATAAATCGTAGGGAATGGTTTTGACGTTTCAAGGATGGAGATTTCAGCGTCGAAGACAAGCCTCGCTTTGGACAGCTAAAAAATTCGAGGACAAAGAATTAGAGGCATTACCCGAAGAAGATCAGAGTCAAACGCAAGAGGAACTTGCAGAATCATTGGGAGTGACTTAACAAGCCGTTTCCGTACAATTGAGAGACATGAGAATTATTAAAAAACAAGGAAATTGGATGCCTTATGAACTGAAACCGAGAGACGTTGAAAGGCGTTCTTCATGACAACGCTCGGCCTCATGTCGCAAAAATCGTAAAAAAATATTTGGAAACGCTCAAATGGGATGTTTTACTGCACCCGCCGTATTCTTCAGACATTGCTCCTTCTGATTACTGGTTGTTCCGAAGGATGTAGCACGATTTGGTAGGTCACCGGTTCACTTTTTTCGCAGATATCGAAAATTGGCTTCAAACTTGGATCGCCTCAAAAGACGAGTCATTTTTCGAGATGGAATTCGAAAATTGCCTGAGAAATGGGAGAAAGTAGTAGCCAGCGATGGAGAATACTTTAATTGATCTGTTCATTCATTTTGTTTTGAAATAAATACATCTTTTAACACAAAAAACGGACCGAACCAGTTTGTACTCCCAATATATATCATAAACCAGGAACATATGGACTCATCAAGGATATATGAAATGATCTATTTTTATTTTTCACTATACAGGGTGTCTCAGAACTTTGGGACACGAGCTCCGTAGGGACATAGAGCTAAGAGAGAAGAACAAAAGAGTCCTCTACCATAATGTGAAAATCGTAATAGTTTTTTAGTAATAACCGCGTAAAGTTTAGCGTTCTCCACGCTCATCGCGGCCTATAGACGCTCTGCGGCAAGCTGTGTGCGTAGGGGCTGAGCGATAACGCGTTTCGCGCTGACTGTCGCGATGGCGTCTTGGCGCTTTGACGCCGCGCGACAGTCAGCGCGAAACGCGTTATCGCTCAGCCCCTACGCACACAGCTTGCCGCAGAGCGTCTATAGGCCGCGATGGGCGTGGAGAACGCTAAACTTTACGCGGTTATTACTAAAAAACTATTACGATTTTCACATTATGGTAGAGGACTTTTTTGTTCCTCTCTCTTAGCTCTATGTCCCTACGGAGCCCGTGTTCCAGCGTTTTGAGACACCCTGTATATTCTTCTAGAATGATACTGACAAGGAGATGTCACGAACTGCTAATTCTACTTTTGAATGTGCAATGCTTTGAATGTGCATAGTGCATTCGAAAGGGGAGGTCGAGAGTATAAACCGTGTCAGAGCTTTTGAGTGTATGGGCTTTAGTTTCGGAGAAAATTTATTGTAAAATGATGTATTTTTCAGCTGTACGGTAAGTACAATGGATAGCCATAATTTTGCATGAAGCGCGCTGGCTGTGCAGGTTAGGCGTGCGGCTACTATTTTGCGTCCGTGCGAGCAGAGTTCAATTCCCCGTAGTGACAATTTTTTTTGTTTTTTTTAGAATAAATGATTGTTTATGAATTAATTGTAAATTTATTTATTTATTATTCGTTATAGTAAGAAAACGTATACATAATGAAAAATATCAATAAATTTTGTGTTTTTATTGTACTGTGTCTTTATTCATTATAAAATTTCGACATCACTGTACAATGTTGCGGGTGATAATTTATATAAAAACATTCGAAGCATAAATGAATCGCACACTATGAACATTTTATAAACGAAAACTGCGTATTGCAGATACATTTTTTCTTATGTACATCCGGTGAAAAACACAATTGATTAACATTATAAAATATGTCACGTTTATCTGCTAATTTTGACGCGTACCAAGCGAATTCAATCATTTTTACATATCGCGGAGCACATAATAAATAATGAGTTAATGATTGAATTCGAATTGCATTATATCGCGAATTTAATTCTTTTTTTCTTCGCTAACCATAATATCCGGACAATTTTGAATACGTTTTATAATAATTTTCACTTGCCTATAAAAATAAACGCCGCAAGGTTGGCAGATTGGAGTACATTTTGGCGGTATTATTTGCAAATTGCATGTTGGTTTGTTTTCATCATTTACAAAAATTTCATTGTACATATGAATATTTTTTTGACCTCCCCAAGAGTCGACAATCATCAAGAAGGAATTGTTTCCAACATACGATTTTACAACTGTTTTTAAATATTCTTTATACAATTGAGAGGTCAGTTTACCCGACTTTGAACAAACGACAATAACATTTTTACATAATTTTACAAGTTTGTCAACTTCTGCTTTGACACGGACTCCAAATGTGTCTCCAGGTTCTTGTAAACATACAAAAACTTTATTTAATAATATTCCGGATTTTGTCATGGAATATTGAGCAGTATACGAATGAGTTATCTTATTTAAGTCGCCTATAAAAAGTTCTACTGTTTTTTCACCCTTATGGGTGTACGTTCTTGAAACATTAGCTCGATACTCACAACCTGTTTGATCTGTATAGATAATATAATCAGAATCGTAATCCGTAGAAATTGATTGTATCAAGTTTTGAAATTGTATTGCAGATTTGGAAACTTCTTCTGGCGATTTCATTTCTCTTTTGGATACATAGCGAACGACGCGACGATTAGAAATGCCATAATTTTTAATAAAATTCGTTACCCAAGATGCCGATGCTGTAAATTGAAAAAACGTTTCCTTCTGTTTCGTTGTCTGCATCTCGAAATTGCATTGCAGTAGCCATAGCCCACTGCTGTAATTGTCGCCTTGTTACTAATTGTTTATGGTCACGTGCTTCAGAAAATTCATAGACACATTTTTTTACATTATCCAGTTTTTCTGCATAAGTGCCACCATTTATTACATCTTTTCTAAATCGTGCAATATCAGTTTTGTGGCGTAAATGTTGTTTAAATCGCTTTTGTAGACCATGAAAACTCCATGTTGGATGCTCGTTTGCGGTCATAACAATCTTTAATTTTGTATCAAAAGGCACTCTATCCTGATATGAAACTTTCTCAGGTGGCACATATTCTTCCTCCGATGTTG